TAATAAAGACAGACTGAGTGACAGCACAGCAGGTATAAAATAACAATCCTTATTTTCATATTTGGTTAGCTGTTTTAAGGTGGTTTGAAATGCTGAAATCTGGTCAGACATCCTCTGTACCTTTCCACTTGGAACGTGAGACACAGTAAGTATTGGGAGTAATGTTTTGCAATTTCACTAGCAGCTCCTCACCAAAACCTCCTGCTTCTGTTGGGTGATCTAACACACTTTTGAGGAAGGAGTTTCTAGGAATAGTTTGCTTGCTCACTACACTCAGTGTTCATGGGAACAAACTGTTGAATTTGAAAGGTTAGAATAATTAACTAGCTAGCCTTGCAGCTTTTTTGAAGTTTTTCAATCTTTTGTTTTCTTCAAAGGTGCTGATAGTTTATTGGATGTGAGTTCTGAAGCTGACCAGCAAGATCTACTTCTGTTGATGCAAGCAAAAATTGCTTCTTTGACATTGCACAATAAGGAGCTGCAGGACAAATTACAGGTGGCATATTTTTGTGCTGTTCTAGTGCTTTCTTAATCTGCTAGCAGAACAAAGAGTTCCTTACCATTTTAAAGAGATGTACAGTGAAGATAATTTAACGAGCTTGTTGGTGGTAAGATCCTGGAAACACTCTGTCCCAAAGGATTAAATCAGTGTTTTGATCTTCTCACTTTTCCCATAAATTACTGAATAACTTTGTTTATTATGATAACCACATTCTAAAAGATGTTGTTAAAAGTTGTGTTAGCAGAATTTTAATTTGCATAGCTTTGATTATTAGCTTATGGAGATCAGCCCAGACTTTCAGAGGAGCTTGGCACTTAGTGCCTTCTCTTGATGTAGATGACTAAATGGGAACAGCTGGGTTTTGAATTTTTCTACAACTTTCTTCTGTGGTGCTTTAATCGTCTGTCTCTGTAGGATGCAGCAAGATTTCCTTGCTATTCTAAAAAATATAATAATGTACTTATTTTTACTATGCAGTTGTTTTGGTTTCTTTTTGCACAGGAAAGAACACCTAAAGAAGTGGATTCAACCATAGAGTCTTATCATTCAACCCAAACAGAGCTTGAGCAAACAGCAGATAGACAAAATGAGTTCTCAGCTCAGGAGCTGAAGTCTACATTAAATGCCACGCAAATTCAAGAAAAGTTGACAAGCTCCAGTGAAGTAAAAACGAGTTACCTCCCGGAAGACTTAAAGGATGTGCAGAGGAAACTAGAGAATTCTGAAGCCAAAAAAAAGCACATAGAACCTCAGGTCCAGTCTAGAGTCCCAGAAACAGATCACTTTAATAGCACAGACATTTCAGAAAATGGTTCTGATCTTAACCTGAAGTTCCAAGAAACTCAAAACAAGTATGAGGAAGCTGTGAAAGAGGTTTTGAATGTACAAAGGCAAATTAAACTGAGTCTTGTTTCCTCTGAAAGTGAAGAAACCAGTTCTGATCTGAGTAGATTGAAGGCTACATGTGGAGAAGTTGAAATGCTTAAGCAAGAATTGAAGAGAGCGTTGGAGGAAAGTGAAAGACAAAAAGAGAAAGTGAGAGAGCTACAGAAGAAGTTTGAAGAAAGAGAGCAGAATGCAGCAAGTAAATTGTTTGTGGATGAGTGTAAGGAAATGAAGAATTCTTATTGTTCAGTTATTGATAACATTAATCAGGAGAAAGCATTGTTGATTGAAAGATACAAAGAAGGGCAAGAGGAAATTAAAAGGCTGCAGGACAAGCTGACAAATCAGGCTCAGTTGGAAACTAGTGCTGAAGCTGGAGAAATGAAAGATGCAATGCACAGAATGATAGATGAGCTCAACAGACAACTTAGTGAATTATCTCAGTTGTACAAAGAAGCACAAGCAGAGCTTGAAGACTATAGGAAGAGAAAAACTCTAGATGATGTAGCTTTGGACTACATTCCTAGAGAGGAACATGAGAAACTGATGCAGGTAACAAATTCTCTGAAATACAAAGCAGAGAATGAGTTATCAGAAATAAAATCCCAGTACACAAAAGTATTAGATGAAGCAGAAGAACTAAAGCAACTGTTAGATGCTCAGAAACAAAACTCTCTGCCAATTACTGAACACCATCAGGTGATGAATGCACTCAGAAATACTGTAAAGGAAATGGAGGAAGAAATAAATGAGCTCAAAGGACTGCTTACCAGCAAGGAAAGCGAAGTAAGACACTTACAAAAGGAATTACTGGAAGAAAAAGCTGCAATCAATGAAGCAATGGTACCCAAGGCTGCATATGAAAAGCTCCAGTCATCACTAGAGGGTGAAGTTAGTGTTTTGTCATCCAAGCTGAAGGATGTAATCCAAGAGAAGGAAAATATGTCCTTAGATGCTATGCAACTGAGAAATGAAGTTTTGCACTTAAAAGAAGAGAAAGAAGGTATGCATACTCTGCTTGAAGCAAAGGAAAGGGAGGTGACTGGCCTTCACCAAAAGTACCATCAAGCTCAAGAAGATCTTCTTGAAATGAAAAGATATTCTGAAAGCTCATCAAAACTAGAAGAGGATAAAGATAAAAAGGTGAGAGATTCGCCACAGTGGAGGGGTAATACATGAATTCAGACTGCAAAATGTGTTGGCTGGTGCATGAGTGACCTAATAGATGAACATGTGTCAGGTGTCACAGAGTGGAGTAACTTTTGATTTTGCCCATCTAAAAATTGACATATCAAAGTCAAAGAAGTTTTCAGTATGTTTGCAGTTGGCTTTCCTCGCCTGTGGACATATGCATGATCTTTCAGTTTATCTCTTTTAAGTTCTGTTTAGATTGGGTTCACACTATTCAGGTGACTGAAGTCAAAGAAGTGGGATTTACAGCTTACAGGAAGAGATTCCAGAGGAGACAAGAAAACAAAAGATCAGAAGGGAGCAAAAATTTACTGTTCTGATTTTAATGTATCATCTCAACCTTAGCATGACTTAACTATTTTTCCTTTGCATCTACCATATCTAGCACTACAATTTTTTTAAAAAAGCTATGTATTTTGGTAGCTGTGAATAGCTGGCCTATGTTTGGTATGCCTCTGTCTCCTATTGAGCAGCAGTGTTTGTAAAGGTGGTAAATGCAATCCTTGTTTGTAAATATTGCTGGCTTTCAGAACAAGGAATGCATTTTGAATTGACTGGGCTGGGAGGGGGGAATAGAAAAGCATCATAACCCCTTGCTTACATTGATGCCTCTTTTTGTCCTTTGAGTTTATTTAATCTTGTTTTTACCCACTTCTTAAATTAAAGTCACAAATAACCCCAAGATGAGACCCACAAAAATACAGTATGCCTTGCAGCTTTTCATGGAAACCTATTTTTGCCTTCCTAGATCAATGAAATGTCCAAGGAAGTCAGCAAGTTAAAAGAAGCACTGAACAGCCTTTCTCAGCTTTCCTACTCGACCAGTGCCCCCAAAAGACAGAGCCAGCAGCTGGAGGCATTACAACAACAAGTGAAGCAGTTGCAAAACCAACTGACTGTAAGTGTGATAATTTCTAAACCCACCATTATTCACAGTTCTCTGAAGATATGAGTGCCATTCTTCACTCTGCCTTATTTAAAATGGAGTACAGTCAATGAGAAAAAGGAAAAGAATTTTCATCCAGAAATTCTCTAATTTCTCTATTTCTCTGAAACATTTAGGAATCATAGAATGGTCTGGGTTGGAAAGGACCTTAAATATCATCTAGTTCCAACCCCCCTGCCACGAGCAGGGACACCTTTCACTAGACTAGGTTCCTCAAAGCCTCATTCAGCCTGGCCTTGAACATTTCCAGGGAGGAGCATCCACAGCTCCTGTGGGCAACATCCCCAAATGTCTCACCGCCCTCAAAAAATAAAGAATTTCTTCCTAATATCTCATCACAATTTACCTTACTTTCAGTTTAAAACCCATACCCCTCTTTCTGTCCTTACATACCCTTGTAAAAAGTCCCTCCCCAGCCTTCCTGTAGCCCCTTCAGGTACTGGAAGCCCACTATAAGGTCTCCCTGGAGCCTTCTCTTCTCCAGGCTGAACAGCCCCAACTCTCTCAGCCTGTCTTAAATAAGAGAGGTGCTCCAGCCCTCTGGTCATCTTCATGGACTCACTCCAGCAGGTCCATGTCTTTCTTATGTTGGGGGGCCCAGAGCTGGAGGCAGCACTGCAGGTGGGGTTTCACAAGAGCAGAGTAGAGGGGCAGAATCACCTCCCTTGACCTGCTGGCCACGCTTCATTTGATGCAGCCCAGGATATGGGGTGGTCCATCTGTCAGGTTTGTGTCTCTTCAACTTAGAGACAGGGATGTTGGTTGTGCGGGATGGTGTCAAAGGCCTTGCACAAGTCCAGATAGATGACATCAGTTGCTTTAGCCTTATCCACCAGTGTTGTAACCCTGTTGTAGGAGGCCACCAGCTTGTTCAGGCACGATTTGCCCTTGGTGAAGGTGTGTTGGCTGTCACCAGTCACCTCCTTATTTACCATGTACCTTAGCATAGTTTCTAGGAGGAACTGCTCCATGATCTGCAAATCACGAATTGCTCTTTAGAAATATTCTACAGTAAAGCAAGCTGTTAGCCCCAATATATTTCCTCAGATTGATAGTGGAGCAAAGTTCCTGTACTTGTAGTGGAATGTAGTGACCAGACCTGCTGCTGTGACCCCGATTTGTGAAAAATATGGCCAGTGTGCAGAGTATTTCTGTGTTTTCTTGAGAATATTCATCAGCTGAAGTCTTTTTGGTTTTTTTAAGCTGAAATAAGTTTGACTTTCTGGAAGAATACAGTCACTGAAGGCATGAAGTTTCAAATCATGCAAATGCATCTGTTTATAGGGAGCACAGTTTATTCTCTGAAATTCTGAGCTGCTTAAAGATTTTTTTTTTTTTTTTAGTGTATTTGTGCATGAGAGATCCAGTCATGTAAGCTGGGTTGAGTCATAACTGCTGTTTCCAAGAGCTTGCCTATGCAAAAGAGCACTTTAATTCCCTGCTGAGGATGAAAATAAGGTACTACCCACCAGAGGCCTCTGTTGAGAGCTCTGGGGTAACTCTGAAAGGAGAATTCTCAGCCTGGCATGCTAAATGGCTTACCTGGTGTCTGCTTTCCTGCCTTCCCCAGCAGATAGAAAGAAGAGTCAGTATGCATATAGGCTAGAAAAATTCCCTTGCAGTGAGGAGAAATAAGTAGGCAGACAGTTAAATGCTGCATCCTGTCAGTATAAAGGTCCAGACTGTTTCTTATCCCAGTCCACCAAGTCTGAAAGGACCATCATCTCCCACTGCTTAAGGACCAGCATAATAGTGTAAGGTGCAAAGATGTGCAACACATCAGGTAAGTGGGTAGGACTTAAAACAGGACAGAAGCATTCGTTTCTTCTTGTAGGCTAGCTTTCCTACCAGCTTCACGTTTGTTTGGAAAGATGGCTTCTGGGATGTGGCAGTCTGTGATCACGAAGAGGAAGTTGGCTTTCCTTGTTTGCATGTGTAGTAATTAACTGAGGATTTCATGGGTTAAGACCTTTGTCAGCACCTCTTCTTCCCTGGGAAGGCATTAGCTGACAGATGGATCACTGACTTCAGGGAAGAGCTCGGTTGCAGTTGAGGATTGGCTTGTCAGAATATTGCTGGCTTTCCTCACTTCTGGTTGCTGATGAGCTCAGAAGAAGAGTATGAGCTCAGAAGAAGAGTATGTGCTCATTCCACATCTTAGCAGCTCAGCGCTTCTGATTGATGTCATCTCACCAGCTTTTTTACTGGGTTTTGTAGAATTACAGCATTTCTGTGGACCATGCTTCTGAGCAAATTATGTTTTGGATGGCTTTTGGCACAGTACTGTCTGAGCTGGTTTTCCATGTATGCATAAGACTGGTTTGTAATTCCCCAGATCTCTCTAAATCTAGTTGGGGAGTTCTGAATTCAATAGTTCTGAATACTCTGTGACTTTCTGCTTAACTGTTTTCCAGGAAACAAAGAAACAGCATCAGGAAATTGTCTCAGTTTACAGGATGCATCTTCTTTATGCTGTGCAGGTATGGTTGCATGTTGTCAGATGTACAATGTTGGTATTTTAGCGAAAGATGTTTCTTCTGCAGACACAGTATGAAGTTTGCATGTTTTATCTGAGACATCCTACCCAAAAGGTATGACTGTTTAAGCAAAAATTTAACACTGCTTCCTTTTGGGAAATGGATCTAATTACTGTACCTCAAAAATAGTTTGTAAATGTTTCTAAAGAGTAGAGAGATGCTTGAATTCAATCGTCTTTTCTTCTTTTTTTCCCTTGTCTAGGGTCAAATGGATGAAGATGTCCAGAAAGTGCTTAAACAAATTTTATCGATATGTAAAAGCCAATCACAGAAAAAGTAAACAAAAATGCCAAGGAGAACTCCCCATTTTTATTAATCCTGTTATGGGAGTTTATCTAGATTTGCCTTAACATTAAGATTTTTAAATTGGCAATTTGCTGCTTTTGTGTTATTGTACTGTTTTTAAGGGGGATTTATTTGTCTGTCTACTACTTCCCATGTGCATTTGCATGTGCAGTAACTAAACACATGCCTGCTTTTCATATCCAAAATGCAAGTATGTTTTTAGACATTTTACTTAAGCCACTCCATATCATGTTTACCCTGAAAGTACTTTCTAGCTTCCTCCAATAGAGGGAGGTTAATCTAGAGGAAGGCACTCGTGTTGCCTAGGTAAGAGTGAAATTCTCTGTAAGGTCTTCTGTACCATTTATGAGCTGCATCTTATTACTGGGGATTAATTAGTTGCTTAAAGATGTAGCACTCAGGTTCCTGACATTTTGCCATATGTAGTCTTTGGCAGAGCAGAAGTGAGACTTGCAGCAGTGAGCAGAAGTAGGTATTTATGCTAAGCTAGAACATCAAACAGCTACATTTCTTAGTGTGATACTGTTTAAGATTAACACACCGTAAGGTAGCTGTCCCAACCCATCCAATGCACTGAGTACACAAAAATCCTACCATGCTTCATAGTTTCCTTGAACTGCCTGGTAGTGGAATTTCAAAAGGTGAAATCATTAGTTTATTGAAGTTCTGTACAAAGCAGTACAGAAACATCTGTATAAACAACCCTTTGTGATAGGTTTAGCTATCTATGCAAGTGTTGGCCATGAAGCTCAGGAACAAAACCAGAACATATACTTTGGACAAGGGATTCTAGTGAACACAGGATGTTTACAGTGAATGTCAATGCCTCATACTTCCTAACCTCACTTTTATAAAGATCTTCTCTTCAGTATATTTTTATTGGCCCTCTAATACATTTTTTTGTAACTAAACCAGTTTTTCTACATAATGTTTGCATTAAGCTTATTAACAAATATTTTTAGGTAATCGTGTTTTAGAGAGTTTCTTTTTATACCCCCAAGTATTCAGTAATAGTGAAGCAGTGAAGTGTTCTCGGTTTGTAAAAGATCTGTATGGAATAATAGACGTGTCTGTCAGTGTGGTCCAGAGCAGTGACGTGTAAAATGCAATTCAGCCTGCTGTTTCAAAAAATGTAGAAACGATAGGCAGAGAACAGCAAAACTTGTCAGAGATTTCTACATGTTGTTTCTAGAGGCTAGGGGCATCAGTAAAGCCTTCAACAGCACTTTTAAATTTAAAGTCAAATAAAAATGCCTGATGTGGTATAGTATGAAACTATGAAAAAATGTTTCTAAGCACAACACTGCACTTGAGGGTACAACCATTCTATCTAGCTTGCAGCTTCACTATGGTATTTGTTTTATTCCTGTTAGTGGATATGTCTCTAATAGAGAAGTTTTCCAGGGCTATAATCTATGAAGTTTATGTAGAGTCATAATATGACAAGAGTCAGCAGTGCCTCAGGCTGACTGGACTCACAGTGCACTTATATCAGATAATTCCTAACCCTGGCAAAACTAAAATGGATTTTAAAAGCAAATAGAAAAAAATCACACCTTTGTATCAGTTAGACCTTGGTGTTACTTTTCTTGGGTGGTTTAACTAATGCCTGCTAATTTTGAACAGTATTTTATAGTTAGATGGTTTTGAAAATGCTCCAAAGAAATGTGAAAAGAATTTTGCTGCAGCACTTCAAAATGAACAAGAAGATTTTAAGCATGCTGGTGCTGCAAAGTATAAAACTTGATGAACCATTTTGTAGGTTGCCTGATGGATTTAGTCTTCTACTTTGTTTTGGTTTGTATATTTATTACAATTATCTTTGTGGAATATTGAAAATTATATACTACAGCATAGCAAGTTTCTTTATATGTAATTTACAAGAAGTTTCCTTATGCAGCAAATAAACTATTTCCAATTTTTTCATCTTTGTACTTTTTGAGCCTTTCTTTACTTTTTGTATTGAGAGAAATCTCACTACACTGTTTTGATGTAGTGCAAGTATGTTCTATATCTCATGTTTAGATAGCTGTCAGAGGTAGCAGGTTTTCCTCCCTGATATTGCAGCTCGATTATTAACTTTATTCATCTGTCAGGTAGAATAGAATCCACTCCAAACCCCATGCAACCAGTTTAGCAGATTGTGACCTCTATCCAGTTGGTAAGTTCAGAGCCATTTCTCACGTGGACATCCTGCTACAGGTAATAAAGGTTTCCCTTTTGTCACTGGATACGTTGCAGCTAAGTTTGAAACTACTATGGAGCAGGAGCAGAGATGGGTGAGGTACCACGATTTTTGAAAACTGTGGTTCTTGATCACTTAGGACTTCACTCCACACACAGAATTAGAGGGAAAGTATATATATATGTATATGCATATGGCTATATGGATATGTCTACTTCTCATTAAACTTAGCAATAGCTGCACAGTCAGCCCTGTTGCCTTTCATCATCTCTCCCTCTCCTGAATTTTATTTGATAAACTAGTTTTTTAGTAACTAACTTGCTAATAATATCTTCCTAGCTGAAGGCAGAACACACAAATGGCAGGAGTTGCACCTCTTCTGGTTACATCCTGGGCGTCAAGTAGCTCTTTAGCCTCTTGTAGAAAATTTCTGTAAGCTACTCAGTACTGGGTTTCCTTTGAAGAAGGCTGCTGACAAACTGGTGTGAAACTGACAGAATCTGTTTGTGGTGAGATCACCTGGCAGGGAAGATCACATCTGCGGCTGTCCTGCATTTTGCTTTCAAAGTTGGTTGTTACCACGTCTGATTAGAAGTGCTTCCTGAGCATCAGTGGTCTGGTGGTTAGTGATTTCTGGCACCCTGAGTGGGCAGTCATGACAGCATGGGCCCTCTTCAGGGCAGTGCTTTTGTAGCTGATTTCTTCCCCCTCCTCACTAACCATATGAGTACTGGGAATGAACAATCATTTTACCAGAGTCACAGACAGCAGGTCACACACCGCAGAGAAAATCGGGTCAGACTGCTCAGCTTGAGCATACTGGCTGTTCTCACCCATCCCATGCCCTGTGACAGTAGAGAATAGTGACAAATGGTGGCAGCAGACTTCAGAGGACTGTGAGTGGGTTGAAATGTGGGAAGAGACATCCATTTACATCTGCATTAAAATTACTCCCCCCTTTGCCTTTTGTTGGAGGAAAAAAGTGTGAGTCCCTCATTATTTGGCATCTGGCTTTCACAGGCCCCATCTTTTGCCAGCCTAAGTGGGCATGGGAAAGTGATGGAGAATTAAGTGATTCAGGAGGTTTCAGTAGCAATTGAGAGACTTCTTGTGCTGTGCCTCCGTGATGGACAGAGCTTGTGGCTTCATCAGTAGCACATAGCCAATACACAGAATCACAGAAGGTTAGGGGTTGGAAGGGACCCCTGGAGATCACCTAGTCCAACCCCCCTGCCAAAGCAGGGTTACCTAGAGCAAGTGGCACAGGACTGCAACCAGGCGGGTTTTGAACATCTCCAGAGATGGAGACTCCACAGCCTCCCTGGGCAGCTTGTCCCAGTGCTCTGACACCCTCACAGTAAAGAAGTTTCTCCTCATGTTTAAATGGAACCTCCTGTGTTCAGGTTTGTGCATATTGCCCCTTGTCCTATCACTGGCAACCACTGAAAAGAGTCTGGCCCAAAAAAAATACATGAGATCAGGTGTGGTTGACCCTCCTGGATGAGTCTGATTACCTGGCCATGCTGTACACCAGCAGGACAGCAGCATCCTCTTGCTCCTTTCCTCACCAAAGTGTGTGGATGCTTCCACTGTGGCTTGTGTGTTTGCTGCCCACAGGTCCCCTGGGCAGGAAAAGGGAAGTGGTCATTCTGCCTAATTTTTGTACGTTTTTTCTGTGCAGTCCTAATTCTGGAGGACAGAGAGCGTCAGTAAGTGTCACTCTCCTGAGGCTGGCTTTTCAGACAAATGGGAGATTGGGAGTAAAAGAACTGGTTACCAGGTGGTTTTTTCAGGCACCTCACAGATAGAGGCATGAGGTAAGAAGGTAATATTTCCCCATGCTGGCTGAGCAGGAGGCTCAGTGATGGCAGAAGGACCCTGCTGGTCTTCCTTCCACTGTCCTCTGGTCAACTAAGTGACAATGTGCTATGTGTCAGCACCAGACAGCAAAAGCCAAGGACAGGACAGGCTGCTGTGTGCTGCAGTAAACCATAGCACAGTGCCTTAGGAGGAGCAACAGAGGGCCAGTGGAAAAGCTGGCTGGAAATCACTTGTCAGATGCTGCATTGCCATGTGGGGCTGTGATTTAGTTTTAAAGTCCACTTCGTGTTCTGTGAGTTTTCCTGAGCAATGGGTGGCTGGTAGGTAGGTAGGAAGGAGGTAGGTCATGTGTGGGTTTACTGCTCTGAATGTTTCAGACCTAAATAAATTACTATTGCTATACGTCTGTTGTGTTTAGACTGTAAAAGCTGCTCTCTGGGAGCCTTTGGCAGTGTAGGGTACCAGCCCTAGACCACAACCAGAGTGTGTGGGAGGGAGGAGGTTAAGGAAGGAGCTTGGAGGTCCAGAGGAGAGCTGCTGTTGCTGTGGTGGAGCAGGGGTGTCCACGTGAGCCTCTGACCATCTGACTTGCCCCCAAGGAGGCTCTGGCTTGTGTTGGGCCATCCGGAGTGTCTTGGGGCTTTCTCCACGCTGATGCCAGCTTTCATCTGAGCACAAGGCAGACACGAATGGCTGAAGCAATCTGCCCTTAAACATGGCAGAGACTCATGTGCTGCAGGGAGGAATCGCTGGCTCAAGCAGTGTGGTCAGGTCTCCCAGAGTGGGGCAGGTCCTGGAGCAGAGGCAGCCTCTCATGCCTTCAGCTGTCTGTGAGGCCAGAGCCTCAGCCTGCTGCTGTGGGAGGTCTTGGGATCCCAGCTGCAAAGCAGCTGCATGGTGGGTCACGGTGCTGCCTGTTGAAGAAACTCATGGAAAAGCTCCTGGAGGCGTTGGCTGTTGGAGTTTCAGAGTAGCAGCATAGGCAGATGTGATGTCACACAGCACATAATCTGCAGGCACAAGCATAACCCAGCAAATTTTGTCAAACAAATATGAATTGGTGCAAGGCTTTTAGGACAGGTCAGTGGCTAGAATCCTCTATTGCCCGTAAATAGGATCTGTCGCAGGGAGCACTAAAAGTGCTCTGAATTTAATGTCAAGCCACAGTTCAAGAGTTTGAGTACCTTGAAACCTTCATCTGTAGCAACACTGTCTAGTTCTGCAAACACGCGTGGGTTCTGGGC